GTTGTGGCACTGCAGGAGGCCCAGGATGGACATGTCGTCTGAGGAATTGGAGGAGGAGTTGAAATGGTTCGCGACTGGGAGGTGCAGTTGTTTATTGCGAACCGAGTTGACGGTAGTTGTCTTTTGCCTGGGATGGGGGCAATGGAAGACCACGGTGGACATTTTTAATGTGACAGGAAAGAGAATAAAAAAGGACACGAGGGGCATTTTTTTTAACACAGAGCATGGACGCATGTGGAATGAACTTCCTGACGAAATTGTCTATGTGGCTACAATTACAATATGAAAACGACATTTGGATAAGTATATAATTATGACAATTTTGAATGGAAATAGGCCAGGAGCAGGTAGGCGGAACTAGTTTAGTTTGGCATTATATTCGGCACGTACAAGTTGGACTAAAGAGTCTGTATCCTTGCTGTATGACTCTATATGAGAGAAAAAAAAACTGACACAGGCTATTGAATTGGATGATCTGCCATTTTCATGATGAGTGGGGGGAGAGATTTCATGGGCCGTTTGGTTAGGTCCAGTTGCTGTTATCTATGTTTCTATGTCTGTTGATTCCCAGAACCGATGTTGAGTATTGTCACCGGAATGAAAAATAGTGATCTGGGCGATCAATATAACTTCAAACCATTTGATTGGATCTTGCTGCTGAATCTGCAGAAGAGTGAATCTCCATCGCAGAAGCCTCAGAGAGTTTAACAGTTACTGAGGAGAAAAACTACAACTGACTCCCTGGATACCGGAGCAAAGGCTGAAAGTAGGAGAAATTGTATCCTTTCACATTTACATTTGGTGATATTTCTGGCCTGTGATTGTGTCGCTGTGAATATTGTGTCAAAGAGACTTTAGGAGAAGGGCGGGCGGGTTAGTCTAATGTAACTGTGTTTGTGCGTTCTTTCGTAACATGGGATCTACGAGTCCCTCTTGTTCAAATCAATAAGATTTTCAATTCAGGTTATCCCCCTGCTCCCCCACTAAACTCCAAAGGTAAGATTCAAGTCAATGTATTTGTTGATATTAAGATTTCAGTCTAAAAGTGACGACAATGTCAACGCTCAGCTCAGAGAGCGCGATCAGTGCAGCAGAAAAATGCGTTTAACTCGACAACGGAGCCGTCAATTCGAGTGAAAACATTTTGGCCGCAAACCTTCCCGTGTCAGAGTCAGGAACGATCGAGCCTGGCTATCGAGAGATGCCGAATTGCAGAGGAATTGGAGAGTTTCGGCCGAGAGAGAAACACAGAGAGGCAGCAGGAGCAGGGAGTTGAGGGCAGGATGTCTCCGCGCCGTCCGCTCGCTGCCTTTAAATTGCTCAGTGCCGCCACCAGCAGCTTCATTGCTGACCCAGTTCAGTCTGACAGAGAGAGATTCAGCGCAGAGTTCTCAACATGAGCGACAGTGCAGCCGCCGAAACGGCTCCTCCAGTTTCCGCCAGCACCAAACCCAAGACTCCTAAGAAGAAGAAGGCGGCGGCTCCCAGGAAACAACCAGCCGGTCCCGGGTTGGGCGAGCGGATTGTGAAGATTGTCGGGGAGAGCAGCAATCGGAAGGGGACGTCTCTGGCCGCGATAAAGAAGGCACTGCAAAGAAGCGGGGTCAATGTGGAGAAGGCAGCAACGCCAAAGAAAGCGGTGAAGAAAGCAGCGCCTAAGAAAAAGACTCCCGTGAAGAAGGTGAAAAAGACCAAGAGCCCCAAGGCCGCAAAACCGGTCCCGAAATCGGTTAAACCGAAGGCTAAGCCCAAAGCGAAAGTGACGAAGAAAGCAGCAAAGAAATGAAGCAGTCTGTGCAACATGTAACCTTCTGAATCCAAAGGCTCTTCTCAGAGCCACCCACTTCTCTCAGGAAAGAGCTGAGCCCGGATCAAATGATCCCTGTCCTAGCTCCGAGTGCAGGGATAAATTACTTATTAATTTATGTGAATAACTCGTCCCCATTTCTCTACCGGATTTACACCCAGCCCCCGCAACACTCGTAACACTGGTCCTGAAACCCTGCTTCACAACACAATCCCGAAACAATGATTTTCTTTTTCAACTGAAGGAATAGAAACTGACATTGAAATGGAAGCAACCGTGTTGACTTGTTAAGAAAGGCCGGGAAATGGTCATTTAATTGTATCACAAGTACTTTTAAAAGCTCCTGTTTTTATTATCTTTGACCATGAAGCTCGAGTCTGCAGATTTTCTGCTGATCGTTGTGTTCACTGCCCTGATGGAGAAAATGTTGAGTTCCAGATCCAGTTGGGGGCGGGCGTTAGCTGGAGGTGGAGCTGGACAGTTCTCTGCTGTCACTTTTTGACTATCCGGGCCGCCTCTCACTCTGTGTGAGCTCTTTCTCAGTCAGGTCGGGGCGGGCTGTATAAAAAAGGAAGGTGAGGCAGCTCGGCTCTCATTCGGCAGCGATTGGAGTGAAGAAGCGTGATGTCTGGAAGAGGCAAAGGAGGCAAAGGCCTGGGAAAAGGCGGAGCGAAGCGGCACCGCAAAGTGCTCCGTGATAACATTCAGGGCATCACAAAACCAGCCATCCGGCGCCTGGCTCGCCGTGGTGGGGTCAAGCGCATCTCGGGCTTGATCTACGAGGAGACCCGCGGGGTGCTGAAGGTTTTCCTGGAGAATGTGATCAGGGATGCGGTCACCTACACGGAGCACGCCAAGCGCAAGACGGTCACTGCTATGGATGTGGTGTACGCTCTGAAACGCCAGGGCCGCACTCTCTATGGATTCGGCGGCTGAACAAATCGACCCTTTTCCAGCGAACCCAAAGGCTCTTTTCAGAGCCACCCAATTCCTCCGACTGAGGGCAGAGACCTGAGGACGGGGAAAGGCAGCAAATCGGGAGGGTGTATTGTACTACAGCTCGTTATCTTACATCGCGACTTGTAATTCTGCCCAGATGCGAAATGTTACATATTCCAGTATTTCTATTTCATTAACCCTTCCAGGAATGATATCTGATTCAGTTTTGATTCTTGGACGCCTGCAGATATTTTAGTGGCACGTTCTTTCCATCTGGCTGCTGAACGTAGCAATGACAAATTGTTTTCGGACGAATTATAAACTGGGTCTAATAAAAATGTGCCGATAAATTGAGATTGCGTAACTTTATTAGTGTACACTATATTTGCTTTTATTATGTTTAAATCGGCGGGATTGTTTAGATAAATTAACGGCGGTTACACGTTCGGTTGATCAGTTTGTGCTGTATTAAACCCCGCGCTTTTCTCCTGGCTGTTACAGACAGATCGCGCTGTGTGCAAGCTAGGTTTTTTAAAAATCCTACAAAATAGAAGACTTTATCGTCGTCGGACTTTATTTATCCTTTATATATTTAACTTAATCTCAGGAGTGCGAGGGTAAAATCGGCGGGCTATTTGAAGTTGACCAACTGTCATTTCAAGTTAACCAATCAGCTTCCAACAATTATTTTATTGCCTTTTCTGTAACTGCAGGAGCTGTTTCTCAGTGGGTTGAGGGACCGGACTGTATCCAATCCCAGCTCTAAGGCGGGCTCTTCATTCCCTTAAATTGGCAGCACCGCAACAAACTCAGCATTGACAGCGGTAGCCTGTAAGTGTGTTGCAGGAAGTTGAAGAGAATGGCCAGAACCAAGCAGACAGCGCGCAAATCCACCGGAGGGAAAGCTCCCCGTAAACAGCTGGCGACCAAAGCTGCCCGCAAGAGCGCTCCGGCCACGGGCGGAGTGAAGAAGCCTCATCGCTACAGGCCCGGCACGGTGGCTCTGCGGGAGATCCGCCGCTACCAGAAATCGACCGAGCTGCTGATCCGCAAACTGCCCTTCCAGCGCCTGGTGCGAGAGATCGCTCAGGACTTCAAGACCGACCTGCGGTTCCAGAGCTCGGCCGTGATGGCCCTGCAGGAGGCCAGCGAG